GGATATGGGCCGTTCCCTTCGGGTTTCGAGGGGTGTATCCCCAACTGGGGTGGTTATTTGGTGCGGGTCTCGAAGGGGATGGGGATGGGGATGGCGATCGGTTAAACGATACCGATAAAAGGACTCGTCTGAAATTTGGCGGCGCGCACAAGGGGGCGGCGCAAGAGGGGCGGCCTTCTGAGAAGGCACGGGGGGGGGGAAGGTGCCCTCTTAGGAGGGCCCGGGAGCTTATGAGAAGGCTACCTAGAAGCATGGAAGACTTCTGAAATGGCCCTTCCGCTCGACGGAGGAAGTTTGCTTGGAAGCTGTCCCGGCTCCTGGACCTGCGAGCCTGGATCTAGACCCCTTGGAGCGGGGGAGGCTCCTTAGAGCCTCCCGCCTTCTCAGACTAAAAGAGCGCAAAACCGCAGGAGCATAAACTTTCGACGGGCCGCGCGGATTTCTTGGCGCTGCGCAGGACGCCCCTCCCTGGCGCGCGGAGCGCGCCAGGGGCGGCGCCAGAAGCACCGCCAGGGGGCCCAGCGCAGATACAAGAAATCCGCGCGGACCGTTAGGTCGGGCATGTCCCCCTACAGGCGGATCCTGGACGAAAAATACAAAATATACCCAACAAAAATACCCCCATGTGGTCAAAAAATCCTCAGAAAATCACCCCCAGGCGATTAGTTTTTGACTATGTTTGAAAATTCCTCCTCTGGAGGGACAGGCCCGCCTTTTATAAGCGCACGGTCGAACATTTACAGCCGCCGCGCTGCCATGCGGAACGCGGAAGCAGGAGCGGAAGGGCTCTCCCAGCCACGGCAGAGTTCGACCCGCGGAGGTTCCCCGACGTAGCAGGGAGCCCACGGAGGACGTACGCGCCAAACCACGTAAACGAGTACAGTGCGGGCGCGGCCGCAAGAAACCCTCGCAAGAAACACAAAACCTGAGAACCCGTGCGCGAGGTACACCCGAGGGGAAGCCAGGGGCACCCTGAACGCAGCAGCCCCTTCAGCAGCTGCGGAAAGTCACCGCACAGCGCGAGGAGCGAAGAAACCTAGGACACCCTGACGAAAAGCGTCTGGTTTCGTGATGCGCGACCCCACTGTACGGCCTCCCAGTCCGCGAGACTAGCCGCGCGATACGAACGTTCACGCAAAGCGCGCACTTTCGAGACCAGCGCGGATTCGTGTACGCGTGCACGCTCACTCCGCACCTGACCTGCAGACCCAGGGAATGGCCCGAAAATCAGTGGCCCTCTCGAGCCCAGTTGATGGGCCTGTTTCCACCACCACCACCACCATAAGTTGGAGGGGGGAGGGAGGTGAAGGAAGAGGAGAAGGATGAAGAGGAGGAGGACACCCTCCCCCTCCTTACTTATGGTGGTGGTGGTGGAAAACAAGCCCACCACCATTGGTCCTCGCTTCAGCGTCTCGACTGTATGGCTCTGCCGTTCCTCCTCTTCGACAGGAAGGCCCCCGCGACTCGCGCCGCTCCCCGTGCGCACAGAGCAGGAAAACTCCTTCCGCGTGTGAGAACAGCGTAGCAAAAGGCCAGTGCAGGTTCGAAAAGTGCGCCGCGAGAAGCCCGCGCCGGCCCCCAGGGAGGCCCCTGACATGAGGCCGTGCTGCATCGCGCTGCAGATGCGGCATCGAGAAGCCAAGGATATACCCCTCTTCATCCCTCCTCCTCCGCCTCCTCCTCCTCATCATACTCATCATCAGCATCATCATCATCATCATCATCATCATCATCATCATCATCATCATCATCATCATCATCATCATCATCATCATCATCATCATCATCATCATAAACATCATCATCATCAGCAGCAGCATCAGCATCATCATCATCATAATCAACATCATCATTCTCATCATCATCATCATCAGCATCAGCATCAGCATCAGCATCAGCATCATCATCATCATCATCATCACCATCATCATTATCAGCATTAGCATCATCATCATCAGCATCAGCAACAGCATCATCATAATCATCATCATGTTCATCATCCTAATCATCATCATCCTCAACATATACATCAACATAAGCAGCATAACACTCATCATACTAATAATCACCAGCATCACCCGCACCAGCATGAAGATTATCATCACCATCACCATCGCCATCTGCATGGCCATACAAATCGTCATCTGTATCTGCATCAGCATCAACATCATCATCATCATCATCATCATCATCATCATCACCATCATCAGAGTGAGGGGGCCGAACGGTCATTCACTGTCCCTGGGTGCGTGGCTGAAGTGGGATTTCGCGGTGCGGATTCTCGTTGTTGTTGTTTGTTGATGTTTGTTGATGTTTGTTGTTGTTTGTTGTTGTCTGTTGTTGTTTGTTGTTGTTTGTTGTTGTTTGTTGTCGTCGTCCCACCCGCAACCCGCCCCGCGACCCACCCGCGACCCACCCCGCGACCCACCCCGCGACCCACCCGCGACCCACCCGCGACCCACCCGCGACCCACCCCGCGACCCACCCCGCGACCCACCCCGCGACCCACCCGCGACCCACCCGCGACCCACCCGCGACCCACCCCGCGACCCACCCCACGACCCACCCCGCGACCCACCCGCGACCCACCCGCGACCCACCCGCGACCCACCCCGCGACCCGCCCGCGGCCCACCCCGCGACCCACCCGCGACCCACCCGCGACCCACCCGCGACCCACCCGCGACCCACCCGCGACCCACCCCGCGACCCACCCGCGACCCACCTTCGACCCAAACCACGTTCAAGGTACAAACCACAATTTTCGGCGCCTGCGGCGGGCTTTTTTTGCATTCCTTCCAGGTGGAGAGCCCGCGACCCACCCCGTGACCAACTCGCGACCAACCCGCGACCCAAACCACGTTCAGGGTACAAACCACATTTTTCGGCGCCTGCGGCGGGCATCTTTTGCATTCGTTTCAAGTGGAAAGCCCGCGGCCCACCCGCGACCACGATCAGGGTACATACCAAATTTTTCGGCGCCTGCGGCGGGCATCTTTTGCATTCGTCCCCGGTGGAGAACCCCCGCCCCACCCGCGACCCATTCCACGTTCAGTGTCAAGCCCCGCGCATCCACACCAGCCCGTCCAGCAACTTTGCCCTGGCGAGTTGCCTTGATCAGAGAAGTCGGGGAGCATAAAGTGGAAGAAAGGATTCGGTTGCCGTTATCTTGGGAAAGGAGGGGGAGGCAGGAGGAGTAAACAGGGGACGAGGAGGACGCGAAAGAAGAGATGATGTAAGGATAATGTGGGGAAAGAGGAGGAGGAGGAGGAGCAGCAGCAGGAGGACGAGGAGGGGGAGGAGGGGGAGGAGGAGGACGAGGAGGGGGAGGAGTGGGAGGAGGGGGAGGATCAATGGAAGGACGATGATGGAGGCCGATGAGGGAGTGGACGACAATGGGAGGACGATGATGGAAGGACGAGGGGGGGAGAGGGAGGATGAGGAAGAAGAGGAGGACGAGGTGGAGGAGGAGGATGACGATGACGACGAGGACGAGGACGAGGACGAGGAAGAGGAGGAGGAGGAGGAGGAGGAGGAGGACGATGAGGAGGAGGAGAGCCCCATCGACAGGGAAGGTGGGGGCCACGAGGTCCGCCGGCTCGACGACGTCCGCGTCGCCCGCGCCCGCCCCCTCACACTTATCCGCAATTGCGGGGTGCTATGTAATCGGCACCATCATCATCAGCATCAGCATCAGCATCAGCATCAGCATCAGCATCAGAATCAGCATATGCCTCATCATCAGCATCATCATCAGCATCGGCATCATCATCATCGGCATCATCAGCATCATCAGCATAACCAGTATCAGCATCATCAGCAGCATCACCATCATCATCAGCATCATCAGCATCGGCATCATCAGCATCATCAGCAGCGCCACCAGTAGCATCGTCATCAGCAGACTCACCACCATCATCAGCAGCATCACCAGTATCATATTCATAAGCATTAGCATCACCATGGTCATCGCCATCACAATACTATAACAATTCTGAAAAGAAGATCAGTGACAATGATACGACACATGGCGCACACTACCCATAAAACGAATAATACTACTGATGTCAATAATAAAAACAACAGCAGGAACAACAACAATACTGACAATACTAGCTCGTAACACAGCATGGTGCGTATGGTAAAAAGTATGATCATACCCACAAGATCTTTACTAATAAGAAGGATAACATTACCAATGATACGAATTATGAAATCATCACCATCAGTATGAAGAGCATCAGCATCAGCAGCATCATCAGCATCAACATCAGCATCATCACCACAACCAGCATCATCCTCATCAGCAGCAGCAGCAGACGCAGCAGCAACGTCAGCATCAGCATCACCCTAATCTCAGCAACATCAGCAATGTAGTCGTACTCATATTCAAACGCATACGCGGACTCATACACAGATTATTGCTCATACTCAGATGTCTAGTCATACTCACCCGCGACACCCTCATTGACATCCTCCTCCTCAGACGATCGGATTTATGCTGTCTCGTGGCCATCGTGGGGAAGCCGCCAAACAAAAGGCCGACACAAAACGCCCTAGACCGCGGCACAAGTGCTCCTCGCTCCCTCCTCCTCCTCCTCCTCCTCCTCCTCCTCCTCCTCCTCCTCCTAGGCTAGGGCTGGCGACTTTTGTCCCGCGTCCTCCTCCTCCTCCTCCTCCTCCTCCTCCTTGACCCCTCATTCTCGTCCTCCTCCTCCTCCTCCTCCTCCTCCTCGCTCTTCATCCCCGCCGCCCTTCTCATATTCATCCTACTCCCTCTGGCTTCTCTGGGGAAACCAAAAGGTACCGATACCGCTACCCCCCGAGCCTCTCCAGGGGTGCGTTCCGACCAAGACTTCGAAGCGAATCCAGCGGTGGCGACGGGGGCCTCCCAGGAGGCCCAAAAAGGGGAAAACGGGCGAAGGGTAGAGGTATAAGTACCTTTTCCTCCTCTGATTCTCCTTCGCCCTCAATCCGCCATCCCTCTCCTCCTCCTCCCTCCCCCTCGTCCACGGAGAGCGCGCCTCGTCGGCTCTACCAGGCTAGCCTGCTAAAGATGCCGAGAAAGGTAAGCCTCGGCTGGCAGCGCACTCCCGATGCCAACGACACATGCACGCCCAGGCCTTCGACAACTCAACTTGTTCGTCTTAAATCGGGCGTGTCCCCCAACTAGCGGATAGTGAACGGAAAAAATACTCAGACAACTACTCAATTTTAATAGTAGAGAATCGTCCCCTGATTATTTTGGGGCTATTTCTGAACATTCCCCCTGTAGAGGGACAGGCCCGACTTGATCTTCGTCTCGCCACAGCAAAACAACAACAGCAACAACAACAACAAGTTTAAGACTGTTCGCCCTTATATGCTCGAGTGTCCAATAACGCGCATTTCCCAAACCCTCGATACCCGCCCTCTTCGTCTTCGATCGAACCCCTTTTGGGGGGTATACCTTTCTTCCCTGCAGGCCGGCCCCCGGCAAGCGGCGGGGCGGCCGCGGACCGTCGGCCTGGCCAGCGGCAGCGCTGATCGGAGGGCGGCCGCGGACCGTCGACCCGACCCCAAGAGGGACGGACAGGGGACCGACCACGACGACGACGACGACGACGTCGAAGACGACGGCGACGACGACGACGACGACGACGGCGACGACGAGCGAAAGCGAGAGCGAGAGAGAACGACAGCAGGGCCACGAAGGGCACGAAGTAGGCCACGAAGGGCGACAGCGGGGACACGAAGGGAATGCGTATGGGGCCACGAAGAGCGCGAACGAGCGGGGGCCACGAAGTGCAGATAATGTGGGGCCACAGAAGGCAACTATGGGGCCACTGAGGGTAGCAACTGGGCCACGTAGGACAGTGAGGGGGGCACAAATGGCGATAGCGGGGCCACGAAGGGCATGCACATGGGGCCACAACGGGCGCGACTCCTGGGTGCCTGGGTGTCGGGAGCGTGGCTCTTGGGCACATTGCAGGAAATTCCAACGCAAGGCCATTCTTCAGTAAGTTGCAAGCAAGTCTCCAGCGAGAGCGCGACTCCAGAGCGCCGGGAGAGCGATTCTGAATAAAGTGTAAGGAAGTCCCAAGCGAGAGCGCGAATCCTGAATAGAATGCGAGGAAGTCTCGGGCGGGAGCAGGGGTCCTGGCTAAATTGTAAGGAAGTCTCGGGCGGGAGCCGTTGTTGTTGTAACCCAGGGGCCAGGGGCCCAGTTCGAGCATCAAGACTTTCCCTGTCAAAAAACAGGGTGCGAGCGTCGAGGGGCACACTTTGATTGAGAAAAACAGTATGCACTGGTGAGGGAGGATCAACAATAATCATTTTCTAGCGATGAAAACTTAACAACAACAATCAGTTTAGGACTGTTCGCTCCGATCTGCTCACGTGCCAATCAATACGTATATCCCAAAACCTCGGTACCCGCCCTGGTCGTCTTCGATCGTGCCCCCTTGGGGGCATACCTTCCTTACCTGCCACGCGTATTCAGTGCAGCTCCTTAAACAAGGAAGGAGAGGACGGGTGGAAGGGGGAGTGAGAAGAATGGAGCACGAGAAAAATTAGCAAGAGGGGGGCAAGGAGCAGCAAACAAGTGGTAGAACCCGACGGGCTGATCGGGTGGGCAGACCCATAGCGGGCAGGTTGAGAAGGCGGGCCCAGGCGACGAGGTCGAGCAGGTGGGTTCTTGAAGCGTGTCCTGCATGAATATCGAAGAAGTTTGGAGTGATAACGCGATTTTCAAGTAAATCGTGAAACAAAGCCAGCGTGGGCCACGAAGGGCATACAATACGAGGCTACAGAGGGCAGCGACGGGGCCGCTGAGGGCAGCACCGGGGCCACACAGGGCACCGAGGGGGCCACAAAGGGCGACAGCGGGGCTACGAAGGGGATGCGTATGGGGCCACGACGGGAGTGAGTGAGGGCCACGAAAGGCATTCGTATACGGGGCCACAAAAAGGCGACAGCGGGGCGCGAAGGGGCCACGAAGGCAGCGAGGGGGCCAGGAAGGGCGACAGCGGGGACACGAAAGGCATGCGCATGGGGCCACGACGGTCGGCGCGTGCGAGCGGGGGCCACGAAAGGCATATAATGCGGGGCCACAAAAGGCAGCGACGGGGCCACTGAAGGCAGCAACGGGGCCACGAAGGGCAGCGAGCGAAGGCGACCGCGGAACCAGTACGGGCAGCGAGGGGCATCGAAGGCGGGCGAATGGCAGCGAGCGGCGACTGCAGTCATTAACGGGCTGGTCGGGCGGGCAGGCCCAGACGGGCGGGTCGAACGGGCGGGTCGTTCATTGAAGCGTGAGTCCTGCTTGAACCACAGTATGTAGCGGGGGCGCGATTCCTGAGAGTCGAGAAACGGCATCTGGATAAATTGTAAAGAACTATCAAGCGACGCGGCTCGGTGGTAAGTTGCGAGAAGGCCCGAGCGAGAACGCGATTCTATAATGCTTTGTCAGGAAGTATCAGGCGGGAGCCGCGGTTCGGTGTTAAATTGTTAGGAAATCCAAAGCGAGAGCGCGATTCTTTAATACATTGTAAGAAGACTCACGCGGGAGCCCTTGTTGCTGCAACGATGCAGTTTGACACGGACTACATTGTGAGGAAGCCTCAAGCGAGAACGCCGTTCCTGATTGAATTGGGAGGAACTCTCAAACGGGGGGGGGTCCTGAGTAAATTGGGAGGACGTTTCGAGCGGGAGCCGTTGTTGTTTTAGTCCAGGGGGCCAGGGGCCCAGTATGACCAGGAATATGTTCCCTGTATACCCATGTCTATACCCACGTCGGCACGCCCTTCAGACGAATCGCGGCTCAGAGAGAGCCCATTCTTCTAATTTTGTTGGAGAGGCGGGTACAAGATGACGGCGATGATCCCAATGATTTTTTCGAGCAAAGAAAATGGTGCAAAAAAACGTTCCCCAAAAGGGACCATATCTTTCAACCAAACATGATCAAATACTATGAACATTTTTGTCGATCGAAATTTCTTACGAAAACAAAAAAGCAAAACAAATGCACCTTCCACCCCGCGGGATTATGCTGAGCGTTCGTTTGCGACGCAGTGAAGTCCTCGAGGATGCAACCACGGGTTGGGGGCAGAAACGTACACGACGGCGGCAGTTGACAGCCCCGTTCCGTCTGCGCCTCCTGGCACCCCTACGACGGCGAGGGGCACACTTTGACTGAGAAAAAACAGCATGCACCGGTGAGGGGGGATCAACAATAAGTATTCTTCAAAAATGAAAGTTCAACGCCAGCAGCAACAATCAGCCTAAGACTGTTCGCTCTTATCTGCCCGAAGTGTCCGTTAACGTGTATTTCCCAAACCTTCGGTAACTGCCCTCTTCGTCTTCGATCGTACCCTTTTTTGGGGGAAAACCGTTCTTCACTGCAGGCCGGGCCCCGGCAAGCGGCGGGGCGTCGGCCTGGCCAGCGGCAGCGCTGATCGGCAGCAGCCCGACCCCAAGAGGGACGGACAGGGGGCCGACCACGACGACGACGACGACGACGACGACGACGGCGACGAGCGAAAGCGAGAGTGAGAGAGAATGACAGCAGAGCCACGAAGGGCACGAAGTAGGCCACGAAGGGCGACAGCGGGGACACGAAGGGAATGCGTATGGGGCCAGGACGAGCGCGAACGAGCAGGGGCCACGAAGGGCAGAAATGCGGGGGCATAGAAAACAACGACGGGGCCGCTGAGGGTAGCCACTGGGCCACGTAGGACAGCGAGGGGCCCACAAAGGGCAACAGCGAGGCCACAAAGGGCATGCATATGGGGCCACAACGGGCGCGAACGAACGGGGGCCACGAAGGGCATATGTATATTAGCCGCGGATGGCCAGGACGGGGCCTCTGAAGGCAGCAGCGGGGCCACGAATGGCAGCGATGGGGGCCACGAAGGGCGACAGCGGGGCCACGAAGGGCATGCATATGGGGCCACGACGGGCGCGAACGAACGGGGGCCACGAAGGACATACGTATATTGGGCCACGAAAGGCAACGAGGGGGCCACGAAGGGCTGCAACGGGGCCACGAAGGGCAGCGACGGGGCCACGAAGGGCTGCAACGGGACCACGAAGGGCAGCGAGGGGGTAACGAAGGGGTGCAACGGGGCCACGACGGGCAGCGAAGGGACAACGAAGGGCTGCAAAGGGGCAACGAAGGCCAGCAAGGGGGCCACGAAGGACTGCGACGGGGGCCACGAAGGGCAGCGAGGGGGCCGCGAAGAGCTGCAACGGGGACGCGAAGGGCAGCGAGGGGGCCACGGAGGGCTGCAATGGGGCCACGAAGGGCAGCGAGGGGGCCACGAACGGCTGCAACGGGGCCACGAAGGGCACCGAGGGGGCCACGAAGGGCTGCAGCGGGGCCACGAAGGGCAGCGAGGGGGCCACGAAGGGCTGCAACGGGACCACGAAGGGCAGCGAAGGGATGCCACGAAGGGCAGCGAGATCCCGATTCCTACATAACCTCTGAGGGCGTCCTAAGCGTGAGCGCGGCTCCTGGGTGCCTGAGTGTCGGGAGCGCGGCGCTTGAGTAAACTAAAGGAAATTCCAACGCAAAGGCGCTATTCTTGAGTAACTTGCAAGCGAATATCCAACGAGAGCGCGACTCCAGAGCGCCGAGAGAGCGATTCTTAATGAATTGTAAGAAATCCCCAGCGAGAGCGCGAATCCTGAATAAAATGCGAGGGAGTCTCAGGCGGGAGCGGGGGTCCTGGCTAAATCTCACCAGCCCTTTGGGCGTGAGTGGTTTAGCGAGCTCTCTCTGTCCTCAACCCCCCTTCTTCCCCTTCGGGGAGGGGTTTACCCCTCCCCCTACCCCCCCCCCCTGGGCCTGGAGAGGGGGGGCCGCGGGTCGTCGGGGGGGTCAATTTCGACTCCTGGGAGGGCTAAAAAAACGACACCCCTCACGAGGATTCTGGCCCCGACGGGGGGGGGGATAGAGCCCTCTCCTCTTCTTTGAAGCGAAAATCATTGATTTTACTACGGTGTCGGCCCCATTTTGGCCTTATGAGGGGACAGCGCTCCTCTTCCTTCATAGCAAAATCATTGATTGTACGAAGGTTTTGGGCTCACGTTGTCCTTCTCAGGGGGCAGC